GCCATCTCCCAGGCAGGGCAGATCACGTCTTCCAAAGCTGAACTGGTGCCTGAGAAACTCAAGTATCCGCTTTACCAGCTCAGCCCTTTCCAGCCGTTGAAAAGCAGTTTTGTTCACCCTGAACTGATGAATTTCTATTGAAACGTATGTTTCTCTAACACACACAATAAGCTGGCACTTGGCAGTGATTTCAACAAGTGAATGGGGCCAGGCTGCCATCAGAACAAAGCTGAGGGAGCTGAAGCAAGCCAGATTTAAATGAGTTAATCTACAGGGAAGTCTTTCTCTGAAGGCTGTTAACTTAATACAAAACAACTGTCCTCTCCTTTGGGTGCGAAAGCTGCCTTCCCTCCAGCTGGTCTGCACAGAGAGAAGCACGTCTGGTCTAAGAACCAGAGAGCCAAGGTACTACGGCAAGAAACGCTAGGCCTCCGGAGTCCTGCTCTCTCCTGGGGGAGGTGCTCGAACCATTCTCCCTCCAGAAGGCCCAGCCGCACCACACTTCCTGCCACCTGTGCTGACCATGGCCACATGCAACCCTGGGCTTTGGATTCAGCCACCTTCGGCAGCTCTGACCCCCTTCTGACAGTGGGCTCAGCACTTAGTCACGCTGACTAGATCACTCCAGCATGGCCTCTGAGAGCCATGACCCAGCCAGTGGCCGGTGCTGCTCCCTCTGATGGGATGGTGGGATCCAGCCAACCCCCTCTATGACGGGAAGTTCCCATCTAAAGGAAACATGTGTGGTGTGTTTGTGTGTCCATGTCTTCCCACACTCCTGGACACTGAAGGGCAGCTTCAGCCCTGGGAGGTGAGACCAGGGTTGTACAGAGCTATCCAGTGTGGCCATGTGTTAGAATCACTGGGTGGGAGGGTTGCTTTGCAAAATTTCCTATCAGTCTAGGATGGGGCCTGGGCATCAGAATGTCCCAAAAAGCATCCCAGATGGTTTTAATATGCACTAAGGGCCGATGTAGAGAGAAAGAGGCAGTGACCATCAGCTGAGGTGCCCCTGTGTGCCCAGATGGAGGAGAGCACACAACTGAAAAGCAGGCCCCTTTCCTGAGTAAGATCATCTCTGCAGCCTAGCAGGTGACCATAAGAACAGTGTGTTGAATCCGGGTGCTAGGCTTCATGCAGACAATGCCTCTTTAACAAGTGCCTCTTTAACACCAACCATTAGGAAACAGCTACTCTAGATTCATTCATGTTACTTCTCTCATCTCCCATTCTCCAGCTTTATGCATTGCCTTCTCTCTCCACCTCTCACTTAATGCAGACACAAAAACGCTATATGTGTTGCCTTGGAAATTGATTTGGATAGTGTCTGCCCTTTAAGTAAATAACAGCGCAGAAACGATAAGCTCTGTAACAATGAGGGGATATGACGCTGATAATGTGACAGTCCCTAACGCATACCTTACTCCATTCCTGGGACCTGAGCGAACCATCCCACTGGGGAATGCTTGTGTGGAAATGCACAGATCTTGCCCTTGACTGCCAGCCAGGCAGCAGCTCTCTGCACACAGCACCTGCTCGCTACCATGCTGCCACTCTTGATTCCCTCTGAGCTGGGTTTAGTATCTGCTTATCAAGAAGATTCATTTTAGAACTATTTTCAGAACAAGTATAAAGATCTCCTTAAGGGATATATTAACTACATTACTTTAACCCAGTAAAATACATAAATCTCTCATCCTGCAATAAATTCAACACTTAGGAGGGCAAGCAGTCTCTCAGATGAAAAATAGTATGGAAATATGCAAATGACCAGGGCATTTGACAGAATGTACAACAAAATGGGTCTCTGGAACCCTATTTATTCAATCAGAAACCTAGTAGTTATTCTAGAAGCCTACCTCCCGTCAACTGCCTCCCCACTCCTTCCAAATCCCTAAGTCCTACCAATTCAGTTTTGTGCACACATTCATATTTGTCTCTTCTATCCCAACCCATAGCTCCTATTTAAATGTGCTGCTTCCCAGAATCCTCCAGTGGCTCCTAACTGCCCCCTCTGTATTGAGCCTTGCCCCCTCCAATCCATCCTTTTATGTTCTGCCACAGCAATCTTTGTGAAACAATACTGATCACATTGCCCTCTCATGAAAACCTTACACTGGCTCCCTACTGTCTACCCAATGACATTCAAGGTCCAAGCAGGATATACAACCCCCCAGAGTCTCATCTCTCCAACCTCAGGTCTCCTGTGCCTCACGCTGAGCCCTCTGCTCCAGTCTGGTGAGCTAGCTACTTGGAGTTCCCAGCACACCAGCCTGCCTCCCATCTCCTTTCCTCTGTTTGGGCCATTCCCTCTGATGGAATGTCCCTCTGCCTTTCGGCTCTCTGCAAAATATTCTCATACCTCAAATTAAAAACTGAGCAGCCCTGTCTTGAGCCCCTGATCAAACTTCTCTTGGTCTCTCGCAGCATCTAAGATATCACGCTTACCTTAGTAGCAACTGTGAGTCCCTGGAGAGCAAGAATTGTATCTTATCTCTCAAACCTCAGTGCCTAGCATGGCTGCTGATGCACAAGAATGTAATAAATGTTGGTTAACTGAATGAATGTTTGAATGTCAGCATTCTAACATCTCAGATTCTTTACAGCTCAGATTCTTTGCTTTCAGCTGTTTACAATATGGAACTTCTTCCATGTGTGAGTCATTTGTAGAGGCCAAAAAATTAAATAAACAAATCAGTCCAGGCAAAGTATCACCTTCTATATCCCCTCAGAAATGATGTATTTGTTCTGTATTCCTGAAAGAAAGTTCATGTTTCAAGATATTTCAAAAGCTGATAGTGTGAAACTATCCAAGTGAGGTACTCCCAGTCTCGGGCCCTTGCTGCTTCAAGCGCCGCCTCCCTAGCAGTGGTGAATATCTAAATGAGGTACAGGGTGGAGACACTGATTAAAACAGAATGACTGTGGCATAAACCAACACAACATATGAAGTCTACCTCCACATCCTCTGCCCATGTAGATCAAAAAGAACCCTGGGGATGAATACTGACTTCCTGGATGAGTGGCTTCTACGCCAATGAGGGAATCACATAAAAACAAAGCAGCATCCTTGATCCCACAGCAGGCAGCCCCAATGCCCAAAACAGAGCCTCTAAAAGGCTCTGGGCCCACCTAGAATTTCTGCAACGTGGCAGCAACTTAATACCTAGCAAACACCCTCTTCTCCAAGTGCTGCTTTCATATTGGAAAATGAGCAATTTAAATAAATGTTTCATTAACAGAGTGTTCTGCTTGATGCTAACGTTATTTGTTTTCCCCAATTCTATTCCATGGAGTCATTTCATGCAATCCTCCACAGGACAATATGAAACTCTTCTGGTCCCTAATAGACAATCCAGGAAACCTAGAAACCATCCAAACAACAAAGAAATAAGTGAAAACCCTTAACTAAAGAGCTATTCAGACCCATCTGTTCCGGAACACACATCACACATGATACAGAACAGAACGAACTCTCCTAACCACCTCGGTGGCACTGGGTTTGTACTTATGGCAGCAAAGGGCACTGCTGGTCTCTGAGACAGAGGTGGAGGGTAGCTTATTCAGAAAGAATGTGTGGATGTGACATGTTGTGTTAAGGCCCTACAAGGCTTGTTCCCGTTCTGTTTTGTCTATCTGGACAAGAGTCTTGCTTGATGCTGGTTCCAAACCCCAAAAATTTCAAGGATATTTCTAACATCTTTTATTAATAGAAGTTATTTAAAATTTCATAGCACAGTGCTCAGATACACTCCAAATAGGCAAAAGCAAATAAGGGTTTGTTCCCTCAACCTTTGTGAGACACAGAACAGCTTGATCCTGATGAATTGATACCACATTAGTGAAAGTCATCTTTTGGGCGGGTCCAATCGCTTTGGGATGGTTTTGTATGTGCCATTATACTAAAGGTGAGATCTTGATTTGGTTCTAGTCCACATGGTGAGCAAAAGTGAAACTCAACAAAGAGGTGAAGCACCTCAATAGTAAACTGTGTGGAACTTTTTGGGTGCCATGTGTGTGGCAGAAAGTGAAAGACCCATGAAAGAGTGTGGAAATAAGACTGGTGGGGTTGGCATTCCAGGCTCTGCAAGGCACTGAACGAATTAATCTCTGAGTTTCATCTCCTTATTATAAAACTAGAGGCCCAAATTTATGCACTTGGGTGGGTGCCCCTCAGCCTGGCCTGCGCCCTCTATCAGTCCAGGAGCCTTGGGAGGATGTCTGACTGATGGCTTAGTGCATCTAAGAGGTTGATTGGACATCCTAGCATTGCCATGGAGGCAGGAGAGGCTCCCACCACTGCTGCTGTGCTCGCCAGTCATGAGTCTGGCTTCTGGCTGAGCAGTGCTCCCCCTGTGGTAGCACACTGACTACCAGAGAGCAGCTTCTGCACTGAGTGTCTGCCCCCTGGTAGTAAGTGTATATCATAGTGACTAGTCATTCCACCATTCAGTCATTTGCATATTAGCCTTTTATTATCTAGGATAATGCAACAACAATAACAATGATAACACTGGTGGTGGCAGCTACCCTTTACTGAGCACTTACTATGTAGCAGGTGCTATTAGAAGTGCTTTACAAACATTTGTGAAGCACCATCTCACTTCATCCTGAACCACATGTAGGAAGATGTTATCAACTTCCTTTCACAGAGGAGGCTCAGAGCTCAGTAACTAGCCCGAGGTCACCCGCTAGAGTGAGTGTCTGGGTCTCAGTTCAAAACCAAATTTATTTGACTGTTGTGATCTTAGGAAAAAAATAGCCACTGCAAATGACTGCTGCAAATGATCTAAGACATACAATGTACAGTTGAAAATGTCCCTGAAAGAAAGCACTACATCAGCCTCAGTCGTCACTGACAGAGCCCACCTCTCCCTGCAGCCAGATCTGTCGCCCACTTTGAACTCTGGGAGGCCAGCACCCACAGCCTCTTCCCTCCTTGAATTAGGGGTAGATAATCCCATGGCAGCCGGAGAAGAAGGCATGCCTCCTGGACTTACTTTCTGAGAACGGCTATCTCATTCTCTATGCTGCTTTCTTTGCCCTTCAGCGCCTTCTTTGGAATGCACTTCACCGCAAAGAGCTTTCCAGTTGCTTTCTCTTCGGCTAAAACCACTTCAGAAAATGCTCCGCTGTGAAGAAAGAGGGAGAAAAAGAGTGGTTTAGATGCAGGACTTAGGAGTTCCAAAGGCTCCTCTAATCCCAGTGTCAAAGTTTGAGAAATAACAGTGACCCAGATGATCACCAGCATTGAAATACTTCATTACCCAGCATCCTCCCGACCAAGCTTCTTATGCAAAGAAGTACACACACGGGCCCTCATGCAAAGGGACAAGTGGATATCCACATGGGTTTGACTGCCTCCCAGTTCCCCCTGCTACCCTGCAGAACATCAAATAGCAGCGACTTGGGAGCAAACAGAGAAGCTTCCAGCAAGATTCCTACAGAAAAAGATGGTGTCCATCTGAAGCTATCGGCACTCCCACAACCAAGTAGATCAGAAGTTATACCAAAATTTCTAGATTCCTCTCCGGCCCTTCTATCCCAAGAAAATTTCAGAGAACTTCACAAACATTTATTAAATTCTTGCAGACGGGTAAGCATGTGATTCAAGTGTGAGTTAGTGCCACACATGTTATCACCATGGGGTTAATTAATTGGTAGGGAGTGCCATGCAAGTCCTCAATAAGCATCTTGTTTCTTTATTAAATCAACTAACCAAAGACACAAATGATACCCTGAGTGAGATAGTGTGACACACCAGCATGAACCTGAGTGGGGGAGGTGAAGGATTAAGAAAAGACAGACAAGAGAATGAAGGCTGGGTCTCAGTGGAATGCTGTCTTCTCTGATTGAGAGCCTCTCTGATGGAGAACTAGTGACAGCACCATGGACTACAAGCCATATCTTTATTTTTTGGCCAGATTCCACGAGGCAAAATAAGGGCATGATCAAGATGTTTACAACATTCTCGTGGGTTTTGATCCCACTCAATCACATGCACCCGAACTCTATCAAACCCTCATTACTCAGGCACATGGGACCACATGTTTGAACCATAGGTTCAAGCTTACAACTATAGCTGTTGGCTAAAAAGAGCCTTCCAAGCTGGGATTTGCACATGGCCATGAGAGGATTGTGCCCTCTCATCAGTCCAAAGCTTGAACCTGTCCAAACACTGTAGCCGCTCTCCAAAGATTGACTTTCCTGCCTGAAAATATAAATTTAACTCTGCAAGGGTAGAGCAACAAGTTGAAACATGACCAAGACTTGAGGCCAGACAGCCCATTTCTCAGGAGAGGTACCCTGTGGTCAGTGAACCCCGGAGCCAGTGCCTCCCTTGTCCCCCACTCCCACCCTTGTATTTGCCAGCAGGCAGTGCCTGGAGGCTGCACTTAGGCTGGGGGGCAGAACATCCCAATGAGTCCCCCAGTATTCACTCCAGATTTCAGTAAAGTGGACCTGTGCTCATGGGTCAAGGAAAACCACAAGCCTCTGAGTCATTCTCTATGCCTGGACTTTCTTTTATATCCTCAGAGAGACAACAAACTCAGCTTCTACACAGTTATGATGAGGGACAACCCCTCCTACATCAAAAGAAACCACTGGAAGGACCAATGTCATTCCAGCACCCATGCCTAGGGGGCCTTTGTTCTTCAGTCAACATCAAAGAGATGCTAAGCAAGGAGAACGCACTTTTGTCTCTCTCTCCTTCCCAATCTGAAAGGATATGCATCTGTCAAAGGAAGATAAGTAGATATTTTTAAAATCCTTTCCAGTGAGAGGAATTTGCTCACTTTGTACAATTAACTGTTTGGAACACTGTTCCTACTGGAACATTAACTCCCACGAGAGAAGTCCGTCCATTTTCGAGGTCTGTATCTAATTTCATAACCTGAGGGGCAGAGGATAGGCATTCCACAACAGAACCAAATGGAAAATGTCAGAACTAAGGCATTCCACCCAAATCCGCAAATAATCTGCAAAGTGGGATTCTCCCCTCACAGTACCCTATGCCTCACATGGATCCAGCCAGAAGAGCAACTATGAAATATAAATACATGAAAACCCACAACAGAGTTATCACAGAGTGATATATGGAATAAGACATCCCCAGGAACATTTAGTCACTGCCAATGACTTTTGCCCAAAAAGACCAATTCATACAATTTCAGGAACCTCTCCATCTTCCCCCCACACTCCCCGCAACCCAAGGGTTGTCCCTCCCCTGGCTTCCGTCTCAGGAACAGACCCTCAGATGGATTCATCTCAAAGTGAGTGTGATTTCTAAGCTGGAAGAAACTGTAGACAACTACATACATGCTCCCTCTTGCTATCCTCCAGGAGGCAAGATAAGAACTATGCTGGAGAAAAGAAAGATCAGTGATGACAGACCTAAAACCATGTGAGGGACCCTAAAACATGGGTGAGGAATCCATGTATTCATTCTCAGTTTCCCTATTGGCTACTTGGGTCCCTGATGCTGCTGACACCATAATGGTTTCTTTCCTAAGTCTTCTGGACTTAACTACGTCCATTTTCCAGAAGGTAAAGGAGCCCTTTAGCAGTGACAACCCTTAGCTACCAGAGCTCTGACAGACCACGGCTGGCAGACCCCACTCTGCATCCACCTACGCTCTCCCTCTTCAGGATCTGTGTGAATGGTAATGTTAGCTAGGTGGTGAAATATTAATAAAGAATGATAGCAAAGGGAATTAGACAATATTAAGCATAATCAACCAGGGAGAATAAGCCTGTTTAATCAGGGAACTATAACTTGGTAGCAGCATTGCCCCACCAAGGGGATTAATACCCCTCCCTTTCCCCATACAGGGAGCAGCACACCCTCCAGATGTCAGGGGATCAGGGGAGAGGGAGGGTAATCACATGTGCAGTACAAGTCAAGATGGTGCAGAAGGATCCTCCTGTGAAGCATGAGCAACAGGAGCCAAGATAGTGACCACAGAGGCCGTCAGCCCAGCCTGGGAAGGATAGGATGGTTAGAGGCAGATCCATCAGAAGCCCACAAAAGCTTGGGAGTTGACTGATTAGTTTGAAAAGAGCCTTGTCCTTCCCAAGCCCAAAATAATACAATCCCAGCTAACAAAGCCTTCCTCTCTCTCCCTCTCTCCCTCTCTCCTTCTCTCTCTCCCTCTTCCTCCCAGTAATACTTGCTTGCCCTGTTCCTTTCCGAGTTCTCTCCATAGCAGCCATGCAATTTTACCAGCCACCCGGGGCCCATGGCTGACCATACAGGCTCCAAAGGACTCAGCTTTCACATGACACATAAACTGTGGACACTGGCCTTTGTTTGGGCCTTAATGGAAACAAGATTGGAATTTTTTCTATGGCAGGATGGATGGAGATGGAACATTGGAAAACTAGGGACAGCCAGCCTTCTATTTCCACCTAAATAAATCCTACCAGGTCACAATCTCCCATATGCGTGGAATGCTTTCATCATGATCCCGTGAAAAAACACGATTTCCACCAGCAGCAGTAACAGACTACACTATAGGCTAACAGAGGAGTCCTGTGTTTAGCTGTGGCTATCAAGAGCACATAGGGGAAAGTGCTTCCTTGTTCTGTGGATCATTCTTTCCCTGAGTGGGATGTGAGATTTCTGTGTGAATCTACACCTTGACCATGACATTATGGGAGGGGACTAGAGATCTCCATTAGATCCACTGCTGGTGGCTGCTGCAGGAAGCTGAAGTCAAAGTAAGGCAGCTCCTGGATCACAAGTCTCTCTACCTTTGTCTTTTACTTCAGGAGGGATGGACCATCTGCAATCCCATGGTGAAGGCTGGACAATGGGTGTAGACCCAGAAAGGGCTTCATGAGCTAAGTATCTGGGGGTTTGATAGTGAGGCACCTGTGAAAGGGCACAGGACATGCCCCAGAAGACCAGGGTGCCCCTCGTGACTCTGGTAGTCTCTATCAACAGGTACTGAGTAGGATCACAAAGCCAAGATTATACAGTCCCTTCATCTCAGACTGAAAGTCAGCTTGCAATTCCACTTTTGGGTATAACCCAACAAAATTGAAAGCTGGGCTCAAATGAATGTGGTATAGACATGCCATATAGTACTCAGCCATTAAAAAAATGAAATTCTGACACAGGTTACAACATGAATGAACCCTGAAGGCCTTATACCAAATTAAATATAAGGCCAGAATTGAAAGGACAAATAGTGTTTAACCCCACATATATGAGGTACCTAGAGTACTCAAATTCATAGACAGAAAGTAGAACACTGGTTGCCAGGGGCTGGAGAAGGAGAAAGGGGTAGTTATTGTTTAATGGGTACTGAGTCTGTTTGAGAAGATAAAGTTTTAGAAGTAGATGGTGGTGATGCTTACATAACAATGTGAATGCACTCAATGCCACTAAACTGTACACTCAAATATGGCTAAAATTGTACATTTTATGTTATTTATACATATTTTAGTTTTATATATATATATATATATATATATATATATATATATACACACACACACACACACACAGACACACACACACAAGCAACTGGACCACTGGCCAGTAGCTATGATACACAGTGATTACCAGGAGGCAAATACTCAAGGCAGGAGCTGTTCCCTGGTGGTCAGTGTGCTGCCACAGTGGGAGCACTGCTCAGTTGATAGACGGGCACCAGACACAGGACTCATGGCTGGCACCTAGTGAGCGCAGCTGCGCCAGCCTGTCCTGCAGACACTTCCCCTGTGTGCCCAAGCTGCAGCAGCGGCAGGCTCAGTAGGGCCAGGATGAACCAGAGCAGCGAGGCATCCAGCCAGGGCTCGGGCTGCTCCCCAGCAGCCTGCTGCTTCACACACTATTTTGTACTGTGCAGGATCAATGCAAACAACCAGCTGGAGCCCAGTGAGCTGGCAGGTAAGGCTGGGCTGTGGTGCAGAGGTCCACTGATTCCCGCAGGCCAGGCAGAGGAACCCCCTCAGTGCATGAATGCACTGGGCCTCTAGTAAAAAATAAAAAGAAATAAAAAGTCTGCCTGGTTCTACTAAATGGCATTACCTGAGATAGACACATTGGAAAAATCTGATAAAACCTTTTACTCATTACCTCCCTACAGGAGAAAGAAAATCTATGAATAATTGTAGGGCACCA